ACCCCTTCAGAAGCTTTAGCCACTTCAGCAGTTTCAGGTTCCTACGTGAAATTTCTGAAATGACCTGAAGTGGCTGAAGCTTCTGAAAGGGGTTTTAGGTACCCCCATCCAACCATTTGGATGGGTGTACCTGAAACCCCTTTCAGAAGCTTCAGCCACTTCAGATTATTACAGCGGTTTCAGGTCCCCACCTGAATTTCCTGAAATGACCAGAAGTGGATGAAAAAACAGGCAAAAAAAAAAAAAGAAAAAAAAAAAGACATAAAACTTGTCCTCCAAACCACCTGAAACTTCTAAAATGACCTGAAGTGACTTCAGGCCATTTCAACGGTTTCAGACCACTTTAGAATCCTTCATTCTGAAATTTCAGGTGGTCGTTAACCATTTGTGAGAAGAGGAGGAGGAGGAGGAGGAGGAGGAGGAGAAAAGAGGAGGATGTGGAGAGAAGAGCAAGAAGAAGAGGAGGAGGAGGAGGAGGAGGAGGAAAAAAGAGGAGGAGGTGGATAGAAAAGCAAGAGGAAGAGGAGGAGGAGGAGGAGGAGGAGAAAAGAGTAGGTGGAGAAAAGAGCAAGAAGAAGAAGAGGAGGAGGAGGAGAAAAGAACAGGAGGAGGAGGAAGAAGGAGGATGAGGAGGAGGAAAAAGAAGAAGAAGAAGAAGAGGAAGAGGAGGAGGAGGAGGAGGAGCAGGAAGAAGAAGAAGAGAATAAGGAGCAGGAAGAGGAGAACAGAGGAGGAGGAGGCGAAGAAAAGAGGAAGAAGAAGAAGAGGAGGAGGAGGAGAAAACAAAAGGAGGAGGAGGGGGGTTGGTTCTTCGAAGTGCAGCTATGGCTGCGGGGGGTCAGTTCTCCCAACAACACATAAAAAAAAAAAAAAAAAAAAAAAAAAGACGAAATAAGTAGAAGAAGAAGAATAATAAGAATGTACGTAAAAAACAAAAACCTATAACGAACGTACTCACTGTCGTCGATGGAGCAAGGGGGCGAGGTTTTGGACGTGAAGCGATGGCTGCGGGGGGGGCGGTGCTTCCACGCACAGTGATGGCTGCATCTGTAGTTGCTGCATGAACGCGCGGTGTCAACGTCGAACAACACGACGTCACTACATGACCCGACGTCGAAGGCCTACGGGGAGTGGGGAGTACGCCTACGGGGACTGAGGACTACACCTACGGAGAGTGAGGCCAACGGAGAGTGGGGACTTCCGCCTTTGCTGCTACTTGGGAACGATTTCAAACGCGGTTGATTGCGGCCGCCGATCTCTCAGATCGGCGGTCGCAATCGGCCGTGTTTGAACTTCGAAGTTCAAAAAAACGGGGTCCGTCCAACCCTGCAAAATCAAGTAAGCGCACGGGGATTTGTTGGCCCGTTTACATCATATTGCGGGGACGGACCCGGTTCTTCATTTCAGTGCTGGCGGCGGCCTGTGGCCAAGGAGGCAGGTGAACGAGGGAAAAAAACAAACTCGAAATCGACCCCCAACGAAATGTGCTGGGGCCAACCGGGTGCCTGCCGGGCCGGTCTGCTGGGCGGTCCGACCGTCAGGGACCTGGTCGTCCAAGGGGCCCCCGGTCCATCCGGGGACCACGCCTGCTCAAAACACCGTGTCGAAGAACACCGTCGGCTCCTTCAACATAACATTGTTATTTTTTAGAGATTGCCTCAGATGGCATCTGAAAGTCAACGTGAAACGTGTGCTTTTCTGTCGAAGACGAAGATTGGAACTCAGAATGTTTTCGAAGCAAGTCAAATGAACAAAGTTCACCATACTCGGTACTTGCACCTTGAGCAGATGCTCCGTGCACAGAAAATTGCAGCTGCGACGTGGCTAATGCTCTGCATTATCACTCACAACAGGAACAAGAGATCAGTTGTTCCGGCAAATGTAAAACCACGCCCAAGAAGCTCGCACATGAATTAACAAAATGCTATTATTGTTGAGTCATGCATTTCAAGACCGTCACCCATGATCGGTTGTCGTTAATTCCCGCCTTTGAACCTGATGTACCAGCTGGCGTTACAAGATCTGACAAAGGGCATGTGTTGCTAACAGCCTAACAGTCGCTGTCTGGCATGCATGCCATGCAGCCCCTTGCAGTACTGACAACAGTGTGAAAGTTGGATCGGTTGAACTGAATCTGCAAAATCACACTGCTTTTCGCATCAAACACGCTTCATCACACCAAGCTCCACACATAGAGATGCCAATCAGCACAAGACGAAAACTTTTGAAAAATTGAGAGACGGTAAACGGGGGCCCAAATATTCGTCGTTTTCGTTGGCCATTGCGGTGCGAATTTCATAAAAAATTTTAAAAACAAATGATATGAGACCATAGTGCAAACATCAAAAAAGGAAACAGGCAAAAAAAAAATTAAAAACGAAAGAAAAAACAAAAAGAAAATTCAAAGTTTGATACAGCAGAATTGCTCGATGACACACACGGATGGCTTTGGCCCACCAAACCACCTCAACCGATACAACTTTCTCTCTCTCGCAGCAACTCTAATAACAGGTTTGGTAAATCGCATGGGAAACGAGGTTGGAAGTCTTTTCAACTAAAAGAACTGGTCACACTAACAAATTTTTAACTAGACAGTACGTATTTCTACTCAATGAGGCAGCCAATGCAGCAAACTACCGGGATCCCAC